TGGTTTGGCAATAATGGTTTTCTTCTCTTTCAATGTACAGGCTTCGACCACTTCTGCAAATATAGAATCAACTGGCGCTGCAGTTTCATCTTACCTACAATGTTCACACCCTTTGGCTTGTATGAATCTCATGCCATCGACAGGAGCCATTTCACCTCCTTCCACGGCACCGGCCACTGCCTCATTATTAGGTCATGTGCCAGCTCAAGCGGCTGCTCCCTTCATACCACCTGGAGCAACACTGCTGCCCGCCGTGCTCGCTTATCCGACTGCCTATCTGCCGCCCAATTCAGCGTCATCTCAAGGATGTGGTACGAGAGGACTCAGACTCCCTCAGTCTCCCCCTGCGGCTCCTCTTTATCCACGTAGGCCACCATGGTTATCGCGTGCATTTGAAAAAGTGGCGGGAATTGTAAATCTGTTGAGCTTTTCTAATTGATTGTTTCGCAGTTTTTGCCCATTCACGTAGTTTTCATACTTCATTGTTTAGCTCAAGTTTGACTAAGGCTTTCCTAATTCGAGTGAGACGTAAAGGCGTGCGCCTTTTTTGTTTCCTAATTCTTGGTTTCGGATTCCCTTAATTTCTGTGGTCTTATGAATTCGCGCACGCGCGTGCTTACCATTCGTTTTTGCATAGCGGTAAATATGCAAATTATGTTGTACTTCGAACGCACAACCGGGCATGTGAAATCCACACTACGGTGTGCTCTGTTTTATGGATAGAATTGTGGTGACAGCGAGCGGAAATGAATTCATCTGACCATTTCTCAAATGCGAAAATAGGTGCTGACTGCTATTAAAGCGTCTCAGACAAATATAGGGATCTGTATGGTATTAGTTGGAATGGGAGCCTCTTTTCCTTAACGTTTAGCGATTTCTTCCTGTTCGAATATAGACAATTTGTTAGTCTGACTGTTATTTTCTGTAATGGTTGGATGTATAGCAGCAGCAATGCTGTTATTTATTTACGATGGATCATCTCCAATTTTATTGTGCATGGTCCGACATTGTGACATGACGCTAGTAAGTTGGTTGTAGAGCGCATTTCGTAAACCCCGTTTGATGCGTCAACTTCTGAAAACTGTCACAGGCAATGAACCAATTCGTAAACTCATTTCCCGTTTTTTCTTGATGCAAAGTAAGTCGCCTAAAACAAGGAACCTGTGTTTTCAGCCCCCTGGATTCCCATAGCTCAACTTTTGCAATCAGGCGGCACTGGTTTCATTGGTCCTACACCAACCGCAGGTCCTGTTACTCCTGTCGCTCCGGTTTTTTCGCAGTCTTCGAATGCTGCATCTACTACCGGCAAAACTACATGTACTGCGACGAGTATATCCACAACTATTTGCGCACCAAGTTCGGCCCCAGTGACCCCCTTGCTTTTACCTCCCTCCGCTCCCGGCTTCTTTCTCTATCCTGCGGGAGTCAACGGAGAGCTTCACGCCTTGCCAGTGGCTCCAATTAACCCAACTGTCGGTCCTCTCTTCCCTGGACCTCCTGCAGGATTGCTTAACGTGCCTTTAGTGCCACCCCCTAGGCCTCCCCTTCCACAACCACAGCTGATTCGGTCTTCAGATGGTAATACCGAGGAGGGTACTAGGAAGACAGTGGAGTCTGTGACCTCTGGACCTTCGAAGGACAAAACACCAACCTCATCCGGTTTTTTTCCGGCCCATTATGATGGACAGCATCCCACGCACATTGGAGGGGTGTGTTTTACAATTTTTTTTTCGCATTTATGAAATCGTGAGGATCACTTTCCTTTCCATAATGAAATTGGAATGTTACTCTTCAACTATGGTTTCATTGCCTCTTGTTTTGGAATGTTTATGTTGCGCATTCCCGCGAATGCCTTGTGCTTATGTGTGTACCTGTAATCAACATAGCGATACGGTTGGGTTGCTTGCTGTGCGTTTGATGCAGTAGTAAGGTGATTGTGCAACCGCTATTGATCTTTACTCACACCTAACTGGCATCTGTTGGCTGTCGTTTTCGAAATTTTGCTTTCAATTCAAGTAGCAAATCATGTCCATAGGTTTGTTATACACGGTGCAAATAATAAGGAATGACAAATTAAAATGTACGTGCTTGATACAAGCGTTTCCTCCAACCATGCCAAAGGGAGAGGTCATTTTTAATGGTCAATGATGACGATTTTCAGTGCTGTGTTTGCTATTTATTTGTTGAATATGGCATCACATTATTTCTAAGTAGTCCTTTCGAACCGTCTTTTCGTGGTCTACCTCGTCTTTCGTGAAACCGTGACGTCATTATGCTCAATAATTTTTTAGTGCAAACTTTTGCATTTGTGAACTATTTAGGTGCTGATGGAGTCATTGTTTCATTGTAACTCTACGCCTTGTTATCGGGCATAATTTTAGCTTTTGTAACCTGTTGCAGATGTGCATCCAGATCACATCCGGTCTGACCGCTAATCCGATAATTCTGTTCTACTTTTCAATTATTGAAACTCTCACTAGGCTAAACGGTATCGAACCTTATCCACTGGTGCAAATTCCTCGCGCATCGAAGAGCCTCATGTTGGTTTTCTTTTCACCAAAGGAGAAGGAAATAACAGACTGCGGACGACCTCCGACTGCCAGTAAGTCGTCTCTTCGTAGTTATTGTCATCGAATTTTCATTTGGATACGTGCCTTCTTTCGTTCGGCACTGGCCAACGCTTTGTTTTAATAGTTACTTTAGGATTTAATGTGGGGAATTTATATTGTACGAGTTTTGAGGGTTTCCATTATGGTCTTAACCGTTAGTTGTTAGTAGTTAGTTCACCGCAAGTTGTTTCTTGTTTTACAAAAACTATTTCTACATATAGTAGTTAAAATATATCGTGTTTTTCTGTGAAGTTCTTATCAATATTGTCTGAACTCTCATGGAGAGTGCTATCGTTTAATTTCCTTTTTCATATCATTCATTTGTGTCTTCAATATTTTATCTGTTTGTGAGCGATGCTAGACACGCCTCCTAGTGGTAATGCATGCGACTGCTTCCTGATTGAAAGTTACGTAGATGTTACGCAGTTCTACGCACAGGCACTTATAATTCATCTGACGCAGGTCCT